GAGGTAGATACACTCCTTGGAGAGAACAATCATGGGAGAAAGAAGGGCTGCTTATGCACAGGGAGACAGCTCAGGGGGCAGGAGGGCATGGAGGGATGAACACAGGGAAGAGCTAACTATAGGGAGGAAGTAAGAGGGGAGCTGTTGCATTGTGGTAAATTGTGGTCAATGTCATGAGACAAAGTGTATGTGAACTGCAATATGGAAAGTGAATTTGCTGTGTAAATTTTCACCCAAATCAATTGAAAAAAAAAAAAAAGATCTACAGCCTTGGAAGCCCTATAGGATGGTTCTTCTCTGTCCTATGTGTAGTCACTATGAGTTGGAATCGACTTATGGCAGTGGATTTAATCTATCCTACAAAAGAGACTGTTGCCAACCGCTTTTCACAATTGCTAACAGAGGTTGTGACTTTTTCAGTTACCTTGTTTTCTGCCGAAGTATGAACAGCCAAAGGGGAACAGCAATAGAGAAAAGCAAGACCAAACCAACCACTCTCTTAAATGTAGAACTGTTGCTGGGTGCCTTCACAGTTGGTTCTGCTGCATAGCGACCTCCTGTACAACAGGAGGAAACACTGCCTAGTCCTTCACCATCCTCACAATCATTGCTGTGTTTGAACCCATTGTTGCAGCCACTGTGTCAATCTATCTCGTTGAGGGTCTTCCTCTTTTTCGCTGACTCTCTACCAAGCACAATGTCCTCTAGGGACTTGTCCCTCCTGATACATGTCCAAGGTACACGAGACAATAAGGAAGATGAAGAATTGATGCCTTTAAATTTTTGGCGAGGAATACTGAATATACCATGGACTGCCAGAAGAACCAACAAATCTTGGAAGAAGTACAGCCAGGATGCTCCTTAAAAGCGAGGACAGCGCGACTGTCTCACATACTTTGGATATATTATCAGGAGGGACCAATCTGTAGAGAAGGACACCATGCTTGCAAAATACAGGGTCAGCAAAAAAGAGGAAGACCCTCAACTAGATGGACTGACACAGTAGCTGCAATAATGGACTCAAACAGCAACAACTGAGATGAAGGCCCAGGCCCAGGCAATTTTGTTCTGTTGTACATAAAGGTGCTGTGAACAGGAAATGACTCAATGGCACCTAACAACAACAACAACAGAGTTAAATCTCGAACAGAGATACTGGAGTTATAGCAATGCTTGGAAAAGAGCATTCCCAGAGCAGTTCTGGCCCTGCCAAAATGGAGATAATTTATAAGCACCTTTTTAACATTCTTGGCATCCTGTTAACACAGCAGAATGGCTTATAGCTGGAGTAAGGGGCACAGCCTAGAGTAAGATCTACTTTAGGATCTGCTGCAATAGAGTCTAAAATTAAGTTCTGACAAGATCCACAAGGGAGGCAGGTTGGAGGTTGAGTGCCACCAATTTATAGAGGCTTTGGGAGCTCTGGTGGCATAGTGCCTAAGGCATTTGACTGCTAACCAGAAGGCTGGTGGTTCAAACCCACCAGCCACTCCTCAGAAGGAAGATGGGGCAATCTACTTCCATAGTGATACTGCCTCAGAAACCCAAGAAGGGGTCACTATGAGTCGGGTACGACTCGATGCACATAACAACAACAACAACAGGAAACAATTTAAGCTCTCTGCTGATCTGTGAAATCAAAACATAAAATCAAGCCTAAACGTAAGGTCATGAGTTGGTAAGTATATTGATTCTAAAACAAGAACTCACATACTTCGGAGAAATATAACATCCCAAGTAATGCTCACAATGTCCAATATTCAATCAAAAATCATTAGACATACAAAGAAACAAAAAAACCGTGATCTACAGTCAAGGAAAAAAACAGGAGTAGATAGAAGTGAACCTGAGGTTGTCCAGATATTGGACTGAACCAACCAAGGCTTTATTCTAAATAATCCATGGGTCAAAGAGCAAGTCTCTAGGGACATTAGGAAATATTTTTAGTTGAAAATACAATGTATCTAAATCTGTGGAATGAGACTTCCAATTCTGGTGGAGTGCCAGGGATTGGATTTACTCTCCCATTTATAACAACAATAAACAAACAAACAAAAACCCAAAGTACGTGAACAACAGTTTCAAGACGACTACACACTGGGCAACAAGACAGTGATGGCTGAGAGCTGGGAAACAAGTGAGGTGAGCCCTGTGACTGTCACAGCTCATTGCCTTGAGAGTTTTCAGGCCTCGTTTCCAACTTCTGCATCCCAGTCACCAGTGATAATCAGCACATCTTGATTGCATGTTCGGTCAATTTCAGACGGCAGAAGTTGACAAAAGTCTTCAGTGTCTTCATCTTCGGCTTTGGTGGTTGGTGTGTAGATTTGAATAATCATAGTATTAACTGGTCTTCCTTGTAGGCGTATGGATACTATCCTGTCACTGACAGCATTGTCCTTCAGGACAGATCTTGAAACGTCCTTTGTGATGATGAATGCCACGCCATTCCTCTTCAAACTGTCATTCCCTGCATAGTAGATCATATGGTTGTCTGATTCAAAATGGCCAAAATAGGTCCATTTCAGCTCACTAATGCCTAGGATATCAATCTTTATGCGTTCCATTTCATTGTTGACAACCTCCAATTTTCCTAGATTCATACTTTTATACATTCCATGTTCCGATTTTTAATGGATGTTTGCAGCTGTTTCTCCTCAATTTGAGTCATGCCATATCAGCAAATGTTGTTGTTGTTGTTGTTATGTGCTCTGGAGTTGGACCTGACTCACAGAGACCCCTGCTTGGGTTTCCAAGGCGGTATCACTATGGACATAGATTGCCCAACCTTCCTTCTGAGGAGTAGCTGGTGGGTTTGAACCGCCAGTCTTCTAGTTAGGAGTCAAGTGTCTTAGGCACTATGCTACCAGAGCTCCTACATCAGCAAATGGAGGTCCCAAAGCTCTACTTTATCCACATCATTAAGATTGGTTCTACTGTGATGAGGCAGCTCTTTCCCAGTAGTATTTTGAGTGCTTTCTGACCTAAGGGGCTCGTCTTCCTGTGCTCTATCAGACAATGTTTCAGGGCTATTCACAAAGTTGTGCAGTAATGTATCAGACAGTGTTTCTCTGCTATTCATAAGGTTTTCCCTAGCCAATTCTTTGAGAAGTGGATGGCCTCGTCCTTCTTCCTAGTCTGTCTCAGTCTGTAAGCTGCACTGAAACCTGTGCACCATGTGCAACCCTGCTGGCATTTGAAACACCAGTGGCACAGCCTCCAGCCTCACAGCAACACACAAACCACCACAGTACAACAGACTGACAGACAAACTCATCTCTCTTAGCTGCTCAAAACCTCTCTGCTCTCCCCTTACCTGGATCCCATCACCATGGACCCTGGCTTTCCCTCCTTCCTGCCTTTTGGGTG